GATTATAAGAGGAAGCTCAGAATTGATATGCACTGAACTGTAAGTCGCTAAACAATTTTATATACAATGGTTTGACGAGTTATTATGTATATAAATACTGTCACCTTTATGTTGTCAGTGATCTAGAGAAGGATCACACATTTCTTTGTCCTTTGATTTAATTCAGTCACAGCTATCACAGATCTGAATTTTCATAGCGCGTTCACTGATGACTCTAAGCATTTAAGCATTTTTCTAATAATTTTTAATGAATTTCAAATTCCCTCAGTATGTTGTTAGTTTCTAGTTTTTGTAATTATATGACCAATAGTAGATAATTTGAAATCTTTCTTAGGGACTGTGTGCTTCTGGTCCTTTTTATTGTTGATAAATTTGGATTTTAGTTCTTGTCATATATGATTAGCACAATTAATGGAATTGTGTGCTTTAACAAACTTCAATAAATTTAAGGAATTTTTAACCAAAAACAAGGAGGATAAGTACCAAAATAACATTATCTTAGCATAAAAGAATAAGATTTTCTTTGGTTTAAGAACGAAAAAACTGTTCAATATTTGGAACTTTCTTAGTGGATTAATGAAGAGTGTATAACTTTACTAGGTGTAAGTTAGATATGACCAGTCATATATCACAAGAACTAAAATCAGAATTTATGAATAATAAAGGGACGAATTGCAGTTACCTTTTTCCTTTTCCTATGATCAAGTTTTCTTGTAAACATTATAGATACTAAGTTTCTGATTCCTTTCTAAGTTTTACATCCCGTTTGGATGGGCTTATTTTAAGTGACTTTTAAGCCAAAATAGCTTTTAAGCTATAAGTTAGGAATTCTAACATTTGACTTTTGGCTTGTTTTTGTAATTTTAGCTTAAAAACAAGTGCTTAAAAGCACTTTTTTAACTTTATCCAAACACTACATTAATAATAGAGGGGAAGTTCAAATGGGGAAAGTGTTATGGTAAATACCTAGACAACAAGAGATGAGGAACTTCAATGAAGCTTTTCTTGCTTTAGACATTTCGTGTCACTGATCAAACTAATTCAGATTGTGTCGGGTTAGGCTCACTAAGGAGGCGCTCCTTACCAAGAAGTTCTCTATTTCCAAAACCCAAGACCTCTGGTTAACGGTGGATGGAAGGGATCTCAATCATTCTACCACACCCATTAATGGTAACTTCGTAGTGATCAAGTGAATGCTTTCAGTCAAATTGGATTATAGGCTGCAAGCTATAGTTTTCTTTACACGAGACACGATATGTGATGGGCCTTATTTCATTGAATTTTTTTTTTGAATTATCTAACGGATATAATAGGCTTTGTGAGAGAAATACATAGTTGAACTATTTTAAAGCCTTTATCTTCTATGCTATGTTGCTCGGACTATTCGAAAATATCACCGGGTGTGGGTAGGATCCTCCAAAAGTAGTGTATTTTTGGAGGATCGGACACGGGTGCGGCAACATTTTGTAGAGTCCCCGCAACATAACTTCTAGGGAGAAGGTTGAAACTATGGAACCTTAGCATATCTAATTTGCATAAACATAAATGAAAACCTACAAGGATCTGTTTATATGCGGTTCTATTTTCATATACATGCATCTTGACATTTTGATCATTGAGAACTAAACTGAGTTTTTCTTCACTTTTCTCGTTTCAGTTTCATGACTTCATCCTCCTACTTCAAGATTTTTTTTTAAATCAAAGCATCTTCGGTGTTAACTTTTTGTACTCCAATTGTTCCATCTCAATTTTGGATTGTAACTTATTTAATTAGAGTTTACCTTAAGGGGCAAATTTTTACATTGAACAGTAGTTCTCTGCCTTACTGTATTTAAGATAGTGGTGAATCCTTCGGGAGAACCATCTGCTTACTCATGACAAGATATGCCTGCTTATGTCAAACTATCTCAATTTCTTTCCCCTAAAGATTTTTTTCTTTCCTCCTCCTTCGACCCGAGCAAAAAGCTACAAATTCAGTTTTTCAACTTTTCCCGGCATGGAAGCACTCAAGCTAAAGCAACTCCAGTTTACATGATGCAGCTTTATGTGTATTTTCAGTTTTGCGAGATCACTTTTTATGTGCATATTTGAGTTTTCTGATATCACAGCCACTGCTTGACACTCTTTGCGCACTCTTTTTCAACAGGTGAGCATATTTGTAAGTTGTACATAACGTACAGTATAACGAAGCCTACAGAGTAAAGATGCTTTCTGGTTCTACCATGTACATAGCATACAAGATTCCGAGTATTTTGTGAATTAGATTCCTTATCAACATTTTTCGCAGAGTTTATAAGATCTGTCAGATTATGTGTTGTATATTGTAGTTCTGCATAAGCAATGTTGTAACCTACACAAATTCACACACCCAAAAGAAATGGGGCGTCTATATTTTTACCTCTATGTAACATTTCAACTACTTTACACCCCAATCTTGGGAGGTGTGACTGGCACCCGATGCCCGAAGGCCCGAGCGAACCAACCATGATATATGATCTGAAATATAATAACATGTAGGCAGAAGAGCCCAAAACGACACACACACACACACACACACACATATAACTTAGGCCAACAAGGCTGCAACAACAGTATGACAGCTATCCAGAAGGCCGATAGGGCCATACAAAAAAAAATATACATGCAATGACCGCTAGTCTGCAAGCCTCTGAGAGTGTAAGACAATCTCAACAGGCCGGGACAAGGTCCCCGACATGCCCAAAACTACTCATATACATCTGTAATAGTACCTATGGACTCAAAGTCAGCAACTCCGAAGAAGTGGAGTGCGAAACCCAACGCTGATCCTGGGGGTCCTACTGAGGAGGCACGCCGCTCTGTCTATCCGAACCTGTGGGCATGAACACAACGCATAAAAAGGCGTCAGTACGAAATATGTACTGAATATGTAGGGCGACAAGTGTAACATGAAAAATATAATTATTAAGAGAAGAGATATAGATACAATTTGAATTCTGAAACTAGCCTCGATAGGAAACTAAAATTCAACATGGATATAAATGTATGCTCGTGGAATCGTCGCTCACTATCGCTCCTTATAATATACTACATTATATAATAATAAATCCCTCTGTGGGGCTACAATATCCATAACATATCCGGCCATAATAAAGGCTCGGTAGAATCGTACCCGGCCACATGAAGCTCGGTAATCCCAACTGATCAGTGGTTACACAATAGGTGTCATACCCGGCCGTCTATAGTGCGGCCCGGTAATGAAAGTAAATACATACATACATTAAATCATGAATTATGTAAGTGCAATGCAAAACTAACCTTAAAAGACGTATTCTAATAAGAGTCGAAGTGGCCTATCATCATTATTCCCCGACTATCATGGTTGTCGCTAAAATATTTAATTTTTCAACTACGAGCCAACAAGTCCTAAGAACATGAGAGTTATGTATTATGAGTACCTTTGAAGTAAGTGTTACTTATTCATGATTTATATGAACGTCGAAAGGAGAACGATTAAAAAGGCTCTAGTTCTTTTTAAGCAAGGAACAAGGAAAACCGAGAATTCATAGATATTCTCTGAAGTAAGCAATCTATGAGAAAGGATCAGGTCTAAGCATCTTTATAAGTTGAAGGTGAAATAACTCAAATCCGGCGAAACAATTCGATAAACGTGTATTCGAATTCTAGTCATGTCGAAAAGTATAGCGAAAACCCTACATACCTTGTTGATGGAGTTATATACGGTTTCCGAGACCTCGAAAGCCTTAGGAATGATTTCCTACATATTACGAACCATTCAATATCAAATTCAAGCTCATATCTTATATAATTCTTCATTTAGACATTTAAGCAAACAACTTGCCGACATGAATTTGTACTCTTTTGTAGCTTAATTTCCCCCCAACAGACCACCAAATTTTTACTTTACTACATATCCTCATCGACACGATTCCATCCATATCTTCATAGATCCAAACAACACAATAAAACCATATAAAACAGCCCCAACAATCAAGTCATATTAAGAGAGGTTTCTTTAAAAAAATCAAGAACATTTCTATAGAGGTTTCAACTATTTCTTAGGAATTCTTATGGTAGAAGTTTACAAAGATCAAAAAGGAAGTTAAATCATACCTTATGTGACCAGAATTACTTTAAATTCGAGATTACTTCAAGGCGGAGTCTTCCTACGAAAAGTGAAACACCGAAGAATTCACGATTCCGAAGCTACCATGGTGTTCTCTATCTTGAGGATGACTAAATTGTTGTTATGATTGGCTAGATGGATGGGAGGAGTTTGAGAGGAAATCCCTAGGTTTTAGGTTCTGTTTTGGAGAGGATAAAACGCAGAGGTTATGTTTTAAAACTGACTTAAATAAAAAAAGAATTTAACAAAAAACCGACTATGCTCACTGTTCCCGTAACAGTGTGCACCCATGTACAAAAATGTTAATATCTCTCTACCCCGAAGTCGTATTAATGAAAGGTTTGTTGCGTTGGAAACTAGACTCATAGACCTTCGATTCGGTGGGTATAACACACCATAACTCCTAGTATATTGAGAGAAAAACTCATCAACATTTTATCCAAATTTCAGTGAAATTTAAAACCCGTAACTTGCGGCGATCTTTGTCGAATTTTTTATCACAACTCGAATGACTTCCAATCTTAACGTATAACTATAGAAACATTTAAATATCTCATAGAAATTATCTTCCTATCGAATTAGCTCCTTTACAGCATGATAACGCCAAATACACAAGGTGTAACATTCTCCCCCCCTTAAGAACATTCGTCCTCGAATGTTAGCGGTTAACCTAACCTCTGAATTTTTTTAAAAAAAACAAATTCGCCAGAGTTTCCCCTGTAAATAAGACTATCCAAAACCTGTCATCAGCCCAAACATACATATCTAAGGCCACACATGGCTACACATCATCATAATAACATCAACTTGGCCCCACACGCCCGTTTACTTATACAATAATGATAATAAGAAGGTTAGCCATAACTTAATTACCTCAACTGTCCCTGGTTGATATCTGTGCAACACCTGCCATATTTGTCTCAAGCATATCACGTGAAGACTCAAATAAATGAGGGTATCTGGACTTCATGTCCTCCTCGGCCTCCCATGTCATTTCCTCTATATTATTGTTCCTCCAAAGTACTTTTACTGAGGCTACCTCTTTAGTCCGTAGCTTACGAATTTGACGGTCAAGAATGACAACAGGTATTTCTTCATATGATAAGTCCTCGGTAACTTGAATATCCTCAATAGGGCTGATGCAAGAAGGATCACCTAAAAATTTGCGAAGCATGGAAACGTGAAATACCGGATGGATTGCGTCTAATTCCGGTGGCAAGTCAAGTTTGTAGGCTACTCGCCCAATTCTCTAAACAATCTGATATGGCCTGATATATCTAGGGATGAGTTTCCCCTTCTTGCCAAATCTTATTAGACCCTTCATAGGCGACACTTTCAAGAATACCTAGTCTCCCACAGCAAATTCCAAGTCTCGACATCGGCTATGTGAATATGATTTCTGTCGACTTTGAGCTGTACGCAACCTTTCCTGGATCAACTTTACCTTTTCTACAGCTTGCTGTACCAATTCGGGTCCTAGCAACTTTGTCTCGCCAACATCAAACCAGCCAATAGGAGATCTACATTTCCTCTCATATAGTGCCTCATAGGGTGCCATCTGAATACCGGTGTGATAACTGTTATTGTAGGCAAACTCAATAAGCGATAAATGATCTTCCCAACTTCCCTTGAAGTCTAAGACACAAGCTCGCAACATATCNTGCCAACATCAAACCAGCCAATAGGAGATCTGCATTTCCTCCCATATAGTGCTTCATAGGGAGCCATCTGTATACCGGTGTGAAACTGTTATTGTAGGCAAACTCAATAAGCGGTAAATAATCTTCCCAACTTCCCTTGAAGTCTAAGACACAAGCTCGCAACATATCTTCGAGCGTCTGAATAGTGTGTTCGGCTTGTCCGTTGGTCTGCGGATGAAAGGCTGTACTAAGGTTAACAAGAGTACCCAAACCTTCTTGAAGAGACCTCCAGAAATTAGCTGTAAATTGGGCACCTCTGTCAGATATAATAGAAAGCGGAACTCCATGTAGCCAAACTATTTCCTTGATATACAGTCTCGCATAGTCTTCAGCTGAATAGGTGGTCCTAACTAGGAGAAAGTGAGTTGATTTCGTCAGCCTATCCACAATGACCCAAATTGAATTGAACTTCCGGCGAGAATTGGGCAATCCTGTAATGAAATCCATATTAATCGATTCCTATTTCCAAGCTGGAATCTCAATATTTTGAAGTAGCCCTCCAGGTTTCCGGTGTTCAGCTTTAACCTGCTGGCAGTTGGGACACTGAGCCACAAATGTGGCTATATCTTTCTTCATGTTGTTCCACTAGTATAACTAATGAAGATCATGATACATTTTAGTTGAACCAGGATGAACTGAGTACCGAGACTGGTGCATCTCTATCATAATTTGCTTACGAAGCTNTTACCACATTCGCTTTGCTCGGATGGTACAAAATATCCACATCATAGTCCTTCAGCAATTCAAGCCAACTCCTTTGTCTCAAGTTCAACTCTTTCTGCTTAAATATATATTGTAAACTTTTGTGATCTGTATAGATATCTGTCACACCTCCTTTTTTCTCACCCGCGTGGGGTGAAGGAGTTTTTCCAATTAAAGGACAATCGAAATGGGATTCGTTTATTTATTTCAGAGTCGCCACTTGGGAGATTTAGGGTGTCCCAAGTCACCAATTTAATCCCGAATCGAGGAAAAGAATGACTCTGTATTACAGTCCGCGAACCAGAAGTCCGGATAAGGAATTCTGTTAACCCGGGAGAAGGTATTAGGCATTCCCGAGTTCCGTGGTTCTAGCACGGTCGCTCAACTGTCATATTCGGCTTGTTTATCTGATTTTATACAATTATGAGCTCATGTGCAAGTTTTAACTTTCAACCGCTTTTATCATTACTATTTTTTATCAAGAATTGCAACATCGAGGAAACACGTCTCGAACCACGTCACATCAATGCACCCGTGGTTGTTGACACATTTCAACTCTGTTGAGATTTGGATTTGGGTCACATAAATGTGCACCCGAGTTTAAGAAGATAACATTATTAAATACGCGCCTAAAGCGACTATCGTATCATTATTTTGGGTGGGGCCGTGAAATTTACTAAACGGCTCGTCCCGGAATCTAAGTAATCGAAATAATTATCCGTTGAGGGCCCCGCACTTTGGGTATTCTTGTTTGTCGAGGCTCGTCTCATTCGTTATTTATTATTATTATTATTATTATCATCATTGGGGAATTTGCAACGTTGTGAAAACGCATCTCGAGCCACGCCACAATCAATGCGCCCGTGATTAGAGATACATTTCGACTCCGTTGAGATTTGGATTTGGGTCACATAAATGTGCACCCGAGTTTTAAGAAGGTAAGATTAATTAAATCGCGCCTAAAGAGTCTAACGCGTTATTATCTTTGGGTAAGGCCGTGGAGTTCGCTGAGCGGCCTATCCCGAGTTCTAAGTAATCAACACATACATCTTGTGAGGGCCCCGCAATCTATGCATTTTATTTGGCGAGGCTCGTCTCATTTTATTTAAAAGGGCGTCCTATAGTGGTTATGTTTTCTATTGAGTTTGT